TTTCCCCCCTCCGCCCGCCATTCCCCCCACGCCTCCGCTTGCTGCCCTGTCCAAGAATCTTCGAGGGGCCTCCGCTTGCTGCCCTGTCTGCCCCTCTCCGCTGACCTTTCTCCTCCGCTGCCCCGCCATTCCGCCGACGCGTCCACTTGCTGGCGCGCCATTTTCGCCCGCCATTTCCCCCTCTGCTCTCTGCCTCGGCCCGCCATTTCTCCCTTCCGCCCGCATTTCCCCCCTCCGCTCGCCATTCCCCCCCCACCTCCACTTGCTGCCCTGTCCAAGAACCTCCGAGGGGCCTCCGCGTGCTGCCCTGTTCGCCGCTCTCCGCCGACCATTCTCCTCCGCTGCCCCGCCATTTCCCCCCTCCGCGTCCGCCCGCCATTTTCCCCATCCGCTCGCCATTCCCCCACCTCTTCTGCTCGCTACCATGCCATTTCCCCTCTCCGCCCGCCATTCCCCCACCGCTTCCGCTTGATGCCCCGCCATTTGCCCTCTCCCCCTCCTCCCTATATTTCCCCCCTTGGCTTCCTCTTGCCTCCCCTCCCCTTCCACTCGCTTCTGCTCCGCTCCTGTCCTGGCGCCTGCCATTGCCACTGGCCGTCATTTCCCCCCTCCGCTTCCACTCGCCTCCCCTGTCCCTCGACCTGCCATCTCCGCTCGCCTCCCCTCCCCTTCCGCTCGCTTCTACTCCGCTCTTGTCCTGCCGCCCGCCATTGCCGCTGGCTGCCATCTCCCCCCTCCGCTTCCGCTCGCCTCCCCTGTGCCTCCGCTCGCCATCTCCGCTCGCCTCCCCTGTGCCTCCGCTTGCCATCTCCGCTCGCCTCCCCTCCCCTTTCGCCCGCTTCTGCTCTGCTCCTGTCCTGCCGCCCACCATTGCCTCCGGCTGCCATCTCCTCCCTCCGCTTTCGCTCCCCTCCCCTGTGCCTCCGCCCGCCATCTCCGCTCGCCTCCCCTATGCATGTCCCCGACCCTTCTCCTCCGCTGCCCCGCCATTTCCTCCCTCTGCCTCCGACCGCCATTTCCTCGTCCCGCCTGCCATTCTCCCCACGCCTCTGCTTGCTGCCCTGTTCGCCACTCTCCGCCGACCCTTCTCCTCCACAGCCCTGCCATTTGCCCCCTCCCCCTCCACTCGATATTTCCCCCCCTCCGCTTCCGCTTGGCTCCCCTCCCTCTTCTGCTCGCTTCTGCTCTGCACCTGTCCTACCGCCCGCCATTGCCACTGGCCGCCATCTCCCCCCCCGGCTTCCGCTCGCCTCCCCTGTGACTCTGCCCGCCATCTCCACTCGCTTCTCCCTTCTGCTCGCTACTGCTGCGCTCCTGTCCTGCCGCTTGCCACTGCCACCGGCCGCCATCTCCCCCCTCCGCTTCCGCTCGCCTCTCCTGTGCCTCCGCCCACCATCTCCGCTCGCCTTCCCTATGCATTTCTCGCACTGTTTTTTTTTTTTTTAACAGTCTCGTCCTCTTTTGTACGATGTGCTCCTG